ATATTAAAACTCCCTGCAGCCTTCTCTAAGTTCTCTAGAAAAGCCTGTATGGTTTCACAAGGCCATCCATTCCTGAATCCCCCTCTGACTCTGAACATGGCACATCACTCTACTTACAGCACAGGCTGATGACTCAAAGTACCATAAGCAGAATGCCTTCAGAATGGTACTAGTTCATTCTCAGAAGTTGACTGCGAGACAAAATCCAGGAATGAATAATATTTGGTTATGGAATATTCCAGAACAAATTCATGATTCAAAAAATATCCTATTCTAGGTTTTAGAAAACCATGGTGAGCAGAATAAATAAGTCTTCACTTTGTGGGACTTATTCCCTTAATGTAGGAAAAAATCCTCACAGCAAATATATAATTTAAGGACATTTCCCCAACTCTATGATGCCTCACTGTCAATAGATTCTGACTATGGAAATAGTCTGCTGTTGTGATTTGGATCTGGAACATCCACCAAAGATCCTTGTGTTGAAGAGGGAGACAATGGAAAGTCCTCGTGTCACTGGGTACATAACCTTGAAGGGGGTGGTGGGACTCTATACCTCTTTCCTTTTTCACTTTCAGCCATGAGATGAGTGAATTTGCTCTACCATGCATTCCTGCCATGATACTATGCTGTGGCAGGCCAGAAGCAATGATGCCAACCTACCATGTGCTGTGGGCCTAGCCTGAAGATGGCCTTTCGCCTAATCCCTACTTTCTTTCTCCTCCATAGATTAGATTTGACTAAGATTGTAGATCCTGGAAGGCACAGGCCCAGAAGACAGTTACATTATGTATCCTTGCTCCTTTTCTGCACATGCCCTGATCACAAGATAATCACATTCCGCCTAGGCCATGTGGCCCAAGTGGCACTAGTTACCCTGCCTTCCTACACTATAAATAAAGACCACACTGGACGCCAGGTGGCCATTAGCTCATCAGGCTATGGTCCCACCTGGTCCCAACTCTCAAGAATAATCTAGGTCTCATATATGTGTGGTTCTATTTCTAGATTCTCTGTTTTATTCCAATGACCTATATGTCTTTCCTTACACCAACACTGCCTTGATTACTGTAGCTTTAGAAGAAGTCTTAAAATTAGGTAATAAATGTCTTCCAACACTGTTTTTTTTCTTTTGACTTTTCTAGGTCCTTTGTACTCCTACACAACTTTCAAATTTCAGTATCCAATTCTTCATTTATAGCAAGTATACATACACCTGAATTTTTATATATACCTTGTGTTTTCTAATCCTGCTAAATCCAGATACAAGTTCTAGGGGCTCCTAGAGATTTCTTAGTATTTTCTCTGTAGATCATTTCATCTACATATAAAGATTTTGCTTCTACCTTGCCAATCCTATCCTAATTGTGTCATTTTATTGTCAGACTATTCTGGTTTGGGCCTATGTTTCAAACCTAACGGACAGATGAAGAGTAGGCATTTCTGTCCTTGTTCCCCATTTTAGGGAGAAAGCATTGTATCTATAAGGCATTTTTGCTGAAAGTATGGAGTGCATGTCTTATCTGTTGAGAAGTTTCTGTTCTACTTCTAGTCTCCTGATAGCTTTTACCCTGAAAAGCTGTAGAATTTAGTTCTAATACTTTTTCTGCAACTACTGACAGGATCATATGGCTTTTTCCTTTCCTCTGTTACAATGATGACTTTTGGGGGTGGATCTTCCAATGCTGAACCAACACTGCCATCCCTATAATAAAACTACTTTCTACAAACTTCCAGACCTGACTTCTAATAATTTATTTTGTTAAACAAAATTTTATCTATGTTCATACTTTACTTTTTTTCTTCTATTATCTTTATCCAGTTTTAGTATTAGCACAATGTTGATTTCCTAAAATGAGGGGAGAAGTGTCCTTTCTTTTTTCTGCTTTAACTGTTTGATATAATTCTTCAGTTAAAATGTATATGAGCCTGTTGTTGTCATATAGGTAGGTTTTCAAGCTAGGAATATACTTTAATAGGTACTATTCAAATTCTATATTTCCTCCAGAGTCAGTTTCATTAATTTGTCTTCCAAGGTACTTCTTAAAAGTTTTCAAATTTATTTCAAAAAAGATTTTTATAATATGCTTTCTATATCCTTTTAAATTCTGTGAAATCTGTGGTAATGTCCTCTAAATTTTGATACTGTAATTAATGTATAATTGATATTTTGTAATAGGAAGAAAAGGTCCAAAGGAGCAGGAGAAGTGGGAGGGGTAGGGAAAAGGAAAGAAGGGAAAAGAAAAAATATGAGAAAAGGAAAAAAAAATGGAAACAAAGTCTTTACAAATAGGGAAGGGTGGAGGGGGTGAAGGGAGGGCAGGGGAAGGGGAAAAAATAAGAACCAAGATACAGCATGTACAGGTACAAGATCCCAATGATGAATTTTATACCTACAATATACAAATAAACATATTGGGAAAAAAGGATAATCTCTGTCTCTTTGTCTTTTTTTCATCTCCCACCACTCTCCCCAGCTTCAGACCCTGTTCTGTGTGGGTCGCTGCAATCATGGTCTGAAACCATGAGCCAAAATAAGCCTATTTTCTATAAGTTGATTTCCTCAGTTATTCATTATAGTGATGTTTATTGAAGATCACGAAAGGATAGCAGCAGGAATAGGCAGAAGGGGGAAGGAAAAAAGGAGGAGGAAAAGGAACCTTCCATAACTCAGGCTTCCAGTATTTAAAGGGTCAGACTTCTCTAAGTCCAGGTGCTGCCCACTTGCCTCTCACTGGTGTCAATGATCTGCCACCTTGAGCACTGTGACCTCCTAAGTTTAAACATGGGTAGTCATTAGAGTGGTGTTGCATTTATAGTGGAATGAGGAGAAGGGAGTGGCTCCCTCAACTTCCCTGTTTCTAACTGACCTAGTGATGAAAAGCTGACTAACACATTTACCTTTAAGGCTGAAGGCATTTCATTTTTCCTCCATTGTTTCACTTATTCAATCAATCATTCACTCACTTGTTCAGTCAACAAGAATTCAGTATTTAGGGCATCTTCAATATTCCTAACAATGTGAGAGACATTGGAGGCAATAAGGGATAGAATACGTGGCCAGGTAGCTTTTTAATGAAAATCATCATGTTGTAGGTGTGATGCTTCTGATCTGTGCTGTGTATTACTTGGATTTTAAGGCTCTTCCAGCCCCACGGTCCTCAAATTAAAATGCCTTAATCACTGTTTTTCTTTTTGTGCAATCTGTTAACTCTAAATTTGAACCTAATTTAGAACTCATAGATTTATAATATACCATTTTACTACATGGAATTCCTTCCTATTCCCAAACATCAGAATTAGGAAGCAACGTTTCCCTCTACACGTTAAGTTTTAAATCAAAGTAATGAAGATCTAGCTCCCTTCTCTGGCCCATGGGGAGTGGCTTTATTTGCTGCAGCTGGTCATGCCTCTGCCCTTGCTGTGAATCAAATCCAGATAATAGAAACTCTGCCATATGGAGACAGTTAAGAAATTCAGAAAGGCTAACAGAACTTAAGAGGCCAAAGGTAAAGCATGAGTATTTTTATGTGAATAATCAAGTTTCCTATAGGTATTGTTTGACAATGTGCTCTCTTGGGGTGCTCCAGAAGCTTTATCTATGTTTGTGATAATAAAGAAGGGAAGGACTCCGGCAGAATGTCTTATTTTTTTTTCTTGCCAAGGAGAATTCTAAGATTGGCATTTTCTTGTAAATGCCCTTGTTAGCAATAATTGCTTCCCTGGTGTTGCGATATAATGCTGCCGTTTCCTTTAATCTAAGCTGTATATGTTTCAATATCTGGCCATTCAAGCCACTGTAACAAGAGACACAAAAAGAAATTACTTTGGCCAGTTTTCTGAGATGTTGGAATAGATGCTGTCATTTATGGCCACAGGTTAGGAGAAATCTCTTCAAAGAGCAAGGGAATCTGTTCCTGGAACCTTATCTGTTTTATTGCAACATGATGAAATATGAACACTATCACATATTGTGTTTTCATCCACTGACAGACTTGGCTTTTAGTCTTCAGTGATAATGACAAATACAAATTCTCAATGACTTAACCAGAGAAATAAGGATTTACCATCAATCATCTTATAAAAGGCCAGAAATACAATTTGAAACTGGAAAAAGAAATTCATCCAAAGTAGAAATTTCCCATGGTGCTAGTGGACCCATTGGTTTCAGCTTGGTGTTTCCACTAAAAGACCCCTCTCTTTCTGTACAAGACCAGCAGCTGATCAGGGAACAAGGCATAGTCCACTGAGCTTGTGTTTCAGACCCAGAAGGGCCTCAGGACCTTCCCTTTCTTGGCAAATATAATTTGTCCAGGAATTGATTTGGGGTTTCAACAGGAGACTTACTCTACTTATGTGCTGTGTACAAGAAGATTTTCATTAAAAAGTCAAATAATGAATTCAGCAAATCAATCACTTGGATGTTGTCTGGTCAGCATTTAGTTAAATTTGGCACCATGAAAGCAGACATTTCTTTCATTTCTAAACATGTAACAAGGGTATAGTTTCTACCATGCAATGCTCTAGGACCTGGCATTTCAGAAAAAAAAAAAACAAATTTCTTTCCCTCATGGTACTTAAATTGGAGGAGCACTACAATTAACAAATTAAAGAAAAGAGAAAAGAGAGAAAGGTGTGGAGAGAGGAAGGAATAAGAACTCCAAAGAAATCACGGGATATATGTGTATATGTATGTGAGCCGTGGCCTTTACATACGGTAAATAAAATTTTGTGGGAGGCCTTGGATCTGCACTGAGCACCTGCACAGGACTCAACGCAGAAAACCGGTGATACAGAGTTAACCCCAGTAAAGGTTTGGCTGGTTGCAGAACGCCCTGTAGCCACTTAACTAATTAAGTTGCAAACAACGAACTAGTTAAGCTGTAACAAACTGACTTGCTGATTGACTAGACTGTAGCCTGTTAACTTGTTTTTTAAGCCTCAGCACACCTATAAATACTGATCTGATTGGTCTGATCTGATTGGTTTGATTTCTCAGCTACTGCTCTAGTCCCAGGAGTTGCCCAAGTCCCGAATAAATTCTGTCTTGCTCAAACTTTTAAAATTTAATTCACCTAAGGAATTTTCCTTTTAACAGTTTTCATGTAGTTGGCAAGAACCAAAGTTGAACTCCAATAGCCCAGGAGCAACCAGGCCTAGATACTAGAAGTCTATCCTGTTCCTGTCTTGCTGCATCTGGGAATTATAGGTAAGTTCTCTCTTAGGTTCCAAAGCTCTGAGGATTTGTGAGTTCATCTGTCTGAGTTTGAGTAAAATTTGATCCAGACTGGTTTGTCAGTTGTGACAGAAATAGGGCTGGATTCTGTAAGAAAGTCTCAGGTGTCTGACTAGTTGTTCTGGTTTTGTGTCTAGATGTCCCCTCAAAGCCTCATGTAGTCATAGGTGAAGCTTTTTCAGAGGTGGCTGGATCTAGAGTGTGTGAGGCTGGGACTGATTCACGGTGCAATGCTATGCTCAAGGGCACTAGGATTACGGGTGTGAGTGCTACCCACCCTAAGTAGCCTGGATAAGATACAACTACAACGGATAGAAAGAGCTGTGGTCATCCCTTGTTGCTTTTTCTACCTTGAGCCCACCATGAGCTGTTTCTCCTCTGCAAGGCCTGCCTGCCAGCCACCTTGCCTGGGAGGCAGCTACTTATGGACTGAAAGCTCTGTAAACCTTTTCTCCTTTAACTTTAAGTGTCGGGTATTTTGTCTCAGCAAGGAGAAAAGTAACAATCAATGAAAAAAAAAAAGGTAGAATCAATGAAATTAGCACATATAGCCTTTTAAAAGGTTAAATGAGGAGAGAAAAAGAGTTAGTTGCAGAAACTGAGCTTTAAATGATGAGGGTCTGCTTCTCAGCTAACTTTGTGCTTCTCTCAAGATTTTAAGCACAGAATATATAAGAATATATGGTATCCACAGCTAGCCAGGAAGGTGGTTTGTCCTTTGCACCTAAACTCAGTCATTTAGTTCAAACTCCACAGGATAGGTTGGAAAGCAGCCTATTTTTATTTTGAACCTTTTTTACTAAAGGAAATTTATATTTGTGGGGAGTCTTCATTTAGAGGGATTTCCCTCTCTGCACAGAGCAGAACTGACATTGGAGCCCCTTAAAATGAAAGTATCTTCTGTCTGTCTAAGAAGTCTCACTGGGCCACTTGTTTTAAGGAGGACTTCTACTTTGAGGAGGTTTTGGTTTTGTTTCATTTTGGTGTCTAGGTAGATGATAGTATTTAGGCTAGAAATCTGATTTTGAGCAGGTCAGTCAAGGAAAAGGCAAAGTCCCTTCAATTTCTCTGCTGACATTAATAAACTGGTTAGGGATAAAGGAAGCATTTTCAAAGTCAATGGTTTTTGAAGCACATGGATGGGCCCATAGGAGAATAAATGATGCTTTGGGACAAGGTCTTGCTAGGTGTACTCAAATGATATGTCTGAGAGTTAATATTTAGAGGACTGATTAAAAACAGAACCTCCAGGGCCAGGGATTTAGCTTAGTGGTTCCACTGCCTGCCTTGCAAGCACAAGGTCCTGAGTTTGATTGCTAGTACCGGAAAAAAAAAAATGCTAAAAACAGAACTTCTAAATGAACTCACCTGTCAAGTTATGGAGAGGAACTTGGCCTTACATTTTGTTGTTTTGTTCAAAGGCCTTCAAATTAGGCTAAAGCAAAAATATTTTGGGACAGTATTTCCTGAACTCCTTTGATGGCTAATTTTGTTGGAAGAACAAATCAAACATGATTGGTAAGGGTGAGTAAATTAGGTGCATATAAGTCCATGAAAGTTTACAGATGAGCTGGTCTGGAATCTGAGTCATGTTAAATGAATTAAGTGCTAGATACATATTAAATGGCTGAGTCATTAAGTTAAAATACTAAACCCTGTTCCTTAACCAATATGATGTTTGCTCTATGTTGGAGGGGAGAGTGGGAAGTTAGGGTGATTTTGGCAAGTGGGAGATTTCCCTATTTATTGATTGGGGGTAGGCTGCTAGAAATGGTTCTAAAGAGAAAAGTTGTTCACTGCTTTCATTGTGAAAATGTGTAATGTCTTGATTAATCTGCAAACACTGAGTAATGAAATGAGTTTATTTAACACATTTTACTACCTATGTGTCACACATTATTCTAGGGCCAGAGATCTAATGAAAAATTAGTTGTTTAAAACAAGTTGTAGTTGCATCTCTCGTGGAGTGTCATAGGAGAAACAGATGCATGCATAATGAAAGAATATACATAAAAAAATTATAGCAGGTGCTATGAAGGAAAAGATTTGTCCACTGATTTTTACCTGGTGGCTGCAAAGAGACAAATCATTGAGTTGAACTCCATGTCATTTATTGTCACTTACCTAGTACCAGACAGCACTGGTCTCACAGTTCAGTGTTTGATAATGAACAAATATTGCTAGTGAAAAATCTTATTTTCAAACAGTATAGAGAACCTAGGCGTTTGGAGTAACAAGAGAAGGGTTATAGTATGAAGAAATATGTTTCTAAAAATTGTGAAACGGTGTTCAAGTGTCAATATAGGACAGTTCAAAATTGTCTATTTGGTTGTCCTTCAAAATTAAGTTTATTAACAGTTTTTAAAAATCCTATTATATGGTAATTGCAAATAGAAATGACTTTCTTATGCAAGAAAATTAAGATCTGGTATTAAAGGTATGTCTTTAAGGGGAAAAGTAAATTTTTGACTTAGAGTAGAAAGACTGGTTATTTTAAAATGAGAGAAGAAAAGTATATGACAAACAATTTAAGGACTATAAGAGTTGTAGTAAATCTTGTGAAAGGAATTTTGTGATCTAGCTGGCTAAAATTAGAAAATAATTAATAAGACTTTCTGATAACTGAGTCTTAATACCAAAGGTATAAATATGCAAAATTAGAGCTGCTTACCTATGTTCAAATGAGGTTTACTTGAAGAATTGATCTGCTCTTAATAAAAACCAGAGTTTTGTTATGTCTTTAATTTAGGAAAACTGAGCCCTCACTATTGAAGAGCTGCGGTGTTTTCCCCCTTATAACTATCTGGTTTTCTTTATTTGCTTTTCAAGTCTCTTGGTTTTCATTTTGGTTTGATTAATGATTATTTTGTAGTGACCTGTGATTTTTTTTTTTAGACTAAGTTTTTAGTTTTTGATATGACAGTTTTCCCCAAATCAAATCCTATTAATTTTTTGACCTTAAACTGACTTTGGGATGCTCCAGAAGAGCCTCAAGAGCATCTGATAGGGAGATGTTAACTGTTTGATATAGAACATATTATCATAAGTGATACTCTGACCTTACACCAATTTAGGAAAGTTTATTTTTATGCATAATATTTGCATGAATCTGTGAACATGCTCTTTGCATGTATGAAATCTAAAAGTCCGGTAGTCCTGATATAATGCTGTCAGTCATAATTCTAGTTATTAAGATGCTGTATGAAACAGAAACAACTGAGTCCTGTCAGTTGTCATTATAATGAACTATCAGATCTTTAATCATGGCTACTTCAAGTCTTGTCATTTCATAGACTGTTAATGGGTGAGTCTGGCCTTGAAGTGTTTCGTTTTCAAGGAGACTCATGAAAAGGACTCTGACTGAGCTCAGGTTTTTGATGACTGAGACTGTATCATTGGACCATGTGAGAATTTCCAGAACTCTAGTGGAGAGATTGATTACTCATAAAATGCTACTCTATCATCAAGCAGAACAGGGAAATTGAGAATCAGGGAAATGCTCAAACAGATTCTTTTGCTGGGTCAATCAGTGCTGAGATTGCCAAGATATGTAATTTGAATGACTTCTTTCAGGTTAAACAATAATAATTCTTAACTTAAATTTCCCTTTGTGCCTGCTTTTTTCACTTAACAGAGACTAAGCTAGGAACTAGATTTCCAGACACTTGTTCTCACTCCATATCCTACTTTATCCAGCTTGTGGGCTGCTAGATTACTTACTAGTTGAATCTGAAGGAAAGAATGAATCTACGTAGTTGAATCTAGGAAGGAATGTGAGCAGCTATTAATACTTTGTGTTGCATATGGATAAATACATGGTGTGTTGTAGGAACTCAGTTTCAAGAAAATTAACAAACAGGCTATTTGGTTAAAATGGATGGACTCCTTAATCTGCATTTTTTTTCTTTATTCATATGACTTATAGCAGTTGATTTAGATCACAGTGGTGGTGAACCTGTGACATGCATGCCACAGCAGGCATGCAGAGACCTCTCTGTTGGCAGGAGAGAGCCAAGTTACCCCAGCAGCTTAACATTGGATAACAGGTGTTTTTTCTAAAGTAGAACCTCAGTATTCAGGTTTAATTGCTGTGTTGGCACTTTGTGATAAATAAGTGTTTTGGGTTGCAGTGTGGGCACTAGGTCTTTAAAAGGTTCAAAATCATTGGTGTAGGAGGACCCTGGATACCGAGTATGCTTCACACTCTTGGTATTGTCCTCATAGAAGTCATAGTAGCATTCTTGCTGGTGCACTGTGTTCTCCCAGTCTTAAATATTTGTGCAGCCATCTGCTGAATCTAAATGGTCTGTTTCCACTGGAATGACAACTCATGCATGATCATGAGGACCTTATAACCTACGGGTGATGTATGGTACCAGAAACACAGGATGACAGTGACAGAGTGGAACTGATGCTCTGAGTTTTGGTGGGAGAATGACCAAAAGAGTGGAGTTTTTGATGCATTTTGTAGGACGTGTATTTGGACTGGACACCTACACTGGGTTCAACAGACTAAACCAATCCAGAATTTAATCCCAGTGACTGAATTTTGGCTGTGCCCATTAACTGATAGGCTATAAACAACTACAGTGGTATTCTACTGATGGGTTGACTAGGCTATTGTTAATTGTTTTCTGTGCCTCATTTTTTTCTTCTAAAAGTCTATCTGATCATATTGGAGATCTCAGAACCTACTCTGGGGGTTGTAACTGCCTGATTTGCAGTTGTTTTGTTTTTCTTTGCTCAAATAAACTCTCCAAAATTGGTGTAAGGAATTTTCCTTTTCACACATTATCACAACTCTAGCTCAGAGAAACATACAAATGAAAGCACTTGATTTTGAAAGTCGGAAGCCTATCATAACTCAGGAGTCTGAGTTATTTCTCTGGGGCATAACAATGCTGGTCTCTGCTGTGTTTCTGAGTGTAACATGGAAGCAATATCCCCCTCCAATTGTTATACTTGCTCCTCTT